AGAAAGGAGGAAGGAAGGAAGGAAGGAATGAAGGAAGGAAGGAAGGAAGGAAGGAAGGAAGGAAGGAACGAAGAGAAGTAGGGAGGAAGGAAGGAAGGAAGGAAGGAAGGAAGGAAGGAAGGAGGGAGGAAGGAAGGAAGGGAGGAGGAAGGAAGGAAGGAAGAAAGGGAGAAAGAAAAGAAAGGAAGGTAGGAAGGAAGGGAGGAAGAGAGGGAGGGAGGAAGGAAGGAAGGGATGAAAGAAGGAAAGAAGAAAGGAAGGAAGGAATGGAGGATGGAGGAAGGAAGGAAGGGAGGAAGGAGGAGAAAGAAAGGAAGGAAGGGAGGAAGGTAGGAAGGAAGGGGGGAAGAGAGAGAGGGAGGAAGGAAGGAAGGGAGGAAGGAAGGAAGGAAGGAAGGAAGGAGGAAGGAAGGAAGTAAGGGAGGAAGGAAGGAAGGAAGGAGGGAGGAAGGAAGGAAGGAAGGGCGGGAGGGAGGAGGGAAGGAAGGAAGGAGGGAGGGAGGAAGGAAGGAAGGAAAGAAGGAAAAATGAAGTTAGAAAGAAAAAAAGAAAAAAGATGGTACAAGTGAGAAAGAGAGAAAGAAACAAAAACTAACGAAATAAAGAAAAAGTGATTACGAAAGAAAGAAGTGAGATTGAAAAAGAGATAAATAAAGAAAAACGAAAAAACTTAAGAGACAGAAAAAAGAAAGAAAACAAGAAGGAAAAGTGTCGGATAAAGAATGTAAAAGGGAAGAAAATGACAGAAAATGAGCGAAAGTACACCAGGGAACGGGAGAGAGAGAGAGAGAGAGAGTAGGAGAGAAGAAGTGAGAAAGAAAGAAGAAAACGAGAGAGAGAGAGAGAGAGAGAGAGAGAGTAGGAGAGAAGTGAGAAAGAAAGAAAGAAAGAAAGAAAGAAAGAAAGAAAGGAAGGAAAAGAAAGAAGAAAACGAGAGAGAGAGAGAGTAGGAGAGAAGAAGTGAGAAAGAAAGAAAGGAAAAGAAAGAAGAAAACGAGAGAGAGTAGAAGAGAAGAAGTGAGAAAGAAAAAAGGAAAAGAAAGAAGAAAACGAGAGAGAGAGAAAGAGAGTAGAGAAAGGTGAGAAAAGAAAGGAAAAGAAGGAGAGAAAAGTGAGAGAAAGAGAGAGAAGAAAGAGAGAGAGAAGAAGTGAGAAAGAAAGAAAGCAAAAAGAAAGAAGAAAATGAGAGAGAGAGAGAGAAGAAGTGAGAAAAGACAGGAAAATAAAGAAGAAAACGAGAGAGAGAGAGTAGGAGAGAAGAAGTGAGAAAGAAAGACAGGAAAATAAAGAAGAAAACGAGAGAGAGAGAGAGAGTAGGAGAGAAGAAGTGAGAAAGAAAGAAAGGAAAAGAAAGAAGTGAACGCGAGAAAGTAAGCGATAAAATAAAAAGAAAGAAAAACGGATAGAAAGAACAAAAGAAGAAGAAAGAAAGAAAACAAAAGAAATAAATAAAGAATGAAAACATAGGAAATGTAAAAGAGAGGAAAATGAAAGAAAAAGAGAGACAGTGAGAAAGGGAAAGAAATAAACAGATCAAGACATCGAGAGAAAGAAAAAGTAATAAAGATTGAAAGAAAGAAAGAAAGAAAAAGAATAAAAGGTGTAAGAAATAAGAAAGAAAGGAGAAAAACTTAAAAAAGAAAGAAAGAAAGGAAAAATAGAGTTTAAAGAGGTCAAAAGAGAAAGTAAACAGAGAGAAAGAACATGAGAGAAAGAAATAAAAACTGAAAAGCAAGAAAGACACAAACAGCGAAACAGACAAAGAATGATAAAAAAAGGAAAAAGAGAAAGAAACAGTAAGAGACAGAGGAGAAGAAGAAGAAGAAGAAGAAAGAATGATATAAATGCGTGCTTACAAAAGAAAGTTTCCTCGATAATGCGAATAATTCTTCGACACATTTCTTTCGTATATTGATCTTACCATTTAATAAAAACATCTCCAAATCTTGTGAACACATGACCCTTTATGAAAAGGAAATCTAAAGACAAACAAAAAATAAGTGTTTTTTTTTCCCGTTCTTTATAAAAGCAGCTATTCATTTGGTCCTTGTATTTTACACGTTATTACTTTCCGCAGCTCCGAGATCAGTGACAGTCACCCCTCAATTTCTTCCCATTATTAAAGAATTCTTCAGAGTTCACCCTGCTGAGGAGGCAGGCAGAAACGGTGAAGAATAGAAGCGAAATTCAACAGTATGCCGTTCTTGTTCCTCAAGAGAGATGATTGTGTGCTCTTTGCAGTTTTATGTCTACACCAATCTCTTTATCAAAATGTGTCCATTTTTGTTTCTTCATATCTATCTATCTATCTATCTAAGGATCTTCATTATCTATATATCAATCTTAAGTTCATATATATCTGTATCTATCTCAATTTCTTCATTTCTATCTATCTATCTATCTATCGATCTATCTAAAGACCTTCATTAACTATATATCTATCTTAAGTTCTCCATATATATATCTGTATCTCTCTCTTTATCCATCAAGTTCTTCATTTCTATCTATCTATCTATCTAAAGATCTTTATTAGCTATATATCTATCTTAAGTTCTACATATATGTTTCTCTCTCTTTATCCATCTGTCTAGCTCAAGTTATTCATATCTATCTATCTATCTATCTATCTATCTATCTATCTATCTATCTATCTATCTATCTATCTTTCTATCTATCTATCTATCTATCTAAGGATCTTCATTAACTATATATCAATCTTAGGTCCTTCATATATCATCTATCTATCTATTCATTCATCTATCTAGCTCATCTTCATATCTATCTATTATCTAAGTTATCTATCTAGTTCTTATCTATCTATCTATCATATCTATCTATCTATCTATCTATCTATCTCGATAGGTTTAAATGTTTATAATCATTTCGACGCCAAACGCTTGAATCGTTTAACCAGGGAAGTTACTTGAAATTTACTTAATTTATTAAATAAAATAAATAAATAATAATTACATAAAAATAAACAATATCAATATTAATTCAATTTCCTTTAAGCTGCCCAAAGATGTCACTTAGCGTCCCACAGAGTTTAACTTTGCACCATAAGACATTTATTATAATCAAAACATTTTTACACATTATATCTTTATGATAAAACGATATTTAATTTTGGTATAAGTTTATATATCAACAATGAATATTTTAAAAAATATGTAAAGTTTGTTTTTTTTGTTACGCTTTTCATCCGTTATGATTTCATTGAACTGAACTTTGATGACTTTGCCACTTTTACACATGCGCACAAAACGAGAGACGGAGTTAGTTTCAAAATCTTTTGAAAACATAGTTTTGAAATAATTTTCTTTATTTTTTTTTCAATCTAGGCGAATTAATCTGTATTCTTTTTCTTTATCATTCCAATACATTTTTTCCTGATTATCCCACATTGAGGAAATATAAAATCTTATTAAGTTTGGTGATATATTGTAAGAGACTGGAACGCAACTTCATTGTGGCTGAACTAGCGATCAAGGCACTTTCCAGGCATGTTCGTCTCAATTGATTTTGTATCTACTATATATATATATATATATATATATATATATATATATATATATATATATATATATATATATTTATTTATTTAAAAATATGATTCCAACACGCTACATAGGAGTTCTCAGAGTACCAAGCTCTGTTCCATCTTCAAGCGAAATCTTTTTTTTGAATCTACTTAACGAGTTCTTTCCTATTTTCTATATATTTTTCACATATATATATATATATATTTTTTTTAATCTACCTAACGAGTTCTATCCTATTTTCTATATATTTTCACACACACACACACACACACACACACACACACATATATATATATATATATATATATATATATATAGACTTAAGATGTGCTATATTTATGGAATAAAGTGCTCAATATCAGAGATAGAGCGTGTGTAAATATAAAAGTGAACATAGAAGTCAACACCTAGAGACGACAGTCTGTTTCCGTGCTAGATCCAATCGGTGGCCCGACGATTGCATCTAGCATGAAACCGACTGTGAGACTATTTCTTCCCAAAGTAAATAACAATGATAGTGAACACACAGTCAAAAATAGTATAAATATTTTCTACAAAAACCAAATGCACATCAAATACAAGCAAGGTAAATCTTCACTTAGAAATATCATGAAACAAATACATTACCCGAATTGATCCGACCAAAAAATCAAATTAATTATCTACTAAAAAAAAAAATTAAAACAGCTAATGTTATCCTCAAAAATAACAACAAAGCCGCAAAATCAAAATTACAACAAACGAACATTATTTAAGAGTTCAAATGCCCTTTAAAGAACTGTGTTCCTGATCAAAGCGAATTCATAAATAATTACATCGGTCACACGTATCCAGATGCCTTACGTTATACATACGCAGTTCTATTAGAACCCATTTTAACACACACACACACACACTTAGCAGACTCCACCGGAAACATATTAATAGATTATTGCAAATATAATAACCCCATCCACATGTAAAAAGATTAAAATTAATGAAAGCCTTAATAATAAAAAAAATGGAAAAGCCAACACCCAATAATATTAACTACGAACACGGTCACAATGTGCTAACTGTGTTCGGAAAATAAAACATCCCTATAACTCTAGAAGCATACACACAACCTATATACCCAATCAAAAAGCAAAAATAAAACCAGCCTTGATATTGTCTAAAAGTATAGACGAATGCTCACGGAATTACAGAACATTTGGACAGTTTCTACACTCCCTGTGTCCAGAAAAGAAAACACTTGTTTGAACACAAGAAAAAAAAATTCCTAATCGCAGTACATTGTCTGTCGTCTTTAATGAAACATGTATAAATGAAGGATTGCTGCCTAAATACACAATATATACCTGTATCCATATGAATGTGGGGAGTAGATAATCCCCTGTTGCATTGTTCGTTTTGTCTTTTGGATGCAATATAGTTATTTTTAAACATTACGCTTGCCATATCTTGTAACCTTACAAAATGGAAGCTGCCATTTTGTCTCGTCCGTTTTAAAGATTCAAACTCCCTATTTAATGATTAAACGTTTTATTTTCTTTAGTTTGAATTTACTTTTTGGATTAAGATTTTAATGTTCGTTTTAGACTCTCTCTCTCATTCATTCTTCTCTCTCTCTCTCTCTCACACATTATATATATATATATATATATATATATATATATATATATATATATATATATATATATATATATATCGTGTGTGTGCAGCCTCGTTCTTCGTTTGCTTCCAAACGATTTTAATTGGGTATTTCTTTATTTACATGGTGTCTGCTTAAATCGTCCTTCCTTTCTATATTACCAATTGTTAATTTTAACTTTTATTACCTTCCATTTCTTTTTATTCCCTCGAGTCATTCATTTTTTACCTCTTTTCTTCGTTCTCCTTCCTTGCATTTCTTAGCCAATATTTTCTTCCTCTCTTTTCTTTTCTCTATATCCAGATATATGCCTCATCCCTTATTTTTTGTAAACAAATATAAAACCAGTTTATTTACCTTTTTTTATTCTCACATTCTTCTATATACGTTTAATTCCTACATCATTATATGACATCTTTCCTCTCTTGTGCCTTCTATATTCCATTGCTCTTTTTTTTTTTAGTACCATACTGTAGTTTTCGTTCGTACGTCACTTACATGTTTTTCCGTCGTTTGCACTTCCCTGTTATTCTGTTTCTATCTTCATGCCATGATTCCTTCCATGTTTTTCGTAGTCCAATTGCTTGATATTCTTAAAATATTTTCGTACCAAATTTTCTCTATATCCAAGCACTATTACAAGTTACACTTCTAACATTATAACTTCTTTCTTTCTTTCTTTCTTTCTTTCTTTCTTTCTTTCTTTCTTTCTTTCTATCTTTCGTTCTTTCGTTCTTTCTTTCTATCTTTCTGTCTTTCCTTCTTTCTGTCTTTCTTTCTTTCTTTCTTTCTTTCTATCTTTCTTTCTTCATATTTATAAATTTCTTTCTTTTTTTGTATTACCCATCGTTATTCTTGCAATATAACTTGCTTTTTGCTTGTTTATTCTTTCTTTCTTATACTTTTATTATTTTCTTTCTCGCTTTTTCTATTCTATCTCTTTCTCTTCCTCTTTCTTTCTTTCTGTTTTTCGCTCTTTATTTCTTTCTTTCGTTTTTTTTCTTTGTATGAGATTTCCTGTAATATTACTTAATTTATCTGTCGTTGTTTGTTTGTTTGTTTCTTTTTTCTTCACATTTCTTTCTTTAATCTTTCTTTTTTCACATTTCTTTCTTACTTACTTTCTTTCTTTCTTTCTTACTGTCTTTCTTTCTTCCTTTCGTTTTTTCTTTCTTTCTTTCTTTCTTTCTTTCTTTCTTTCTTCACATTTCTTTCTTTCTTCTTTCTATCTTTTTTCTCATTTCTTTCTTACTTTCTTTCTTCACATTTCTTTCTTTTTTCTTTCTTTCTATCTTTTTTCTCATTTCTTTCTTTCTTTCTTTCTTTCTTTCTTTCTTTCGTTCTTTCTTTCTTCACATTTCTTTCTTTCTTCTTTCTTTCTTTCTTTTTCACATTTCTTTCTTTCTTAGTTTCTTTCTTTCTTTCTTCCTTTCGTTCTTTCATTCTTTCTTTACATTTCTTTCTTTCTTCTTTCCTTTTTCACATTTCTTTCTTACTTACTTTCTTTCTTTCTTTCTTACTTTCATTCTTCCTTTCGTTCTTTATTTCTTTCTTCACATTTCTTTCTTTCTTCTTTCTTTCTTTTTTCACATTTCTTTCTTTTTTCACATTTCTTTCTTACTTACTTTCTTTCTTTCTTTCATTGTATTAGCCGATGTATTAGTTTTTCTTGCAATATTATTACTTGCTTTTCTTTTTCTGTCTCGCACTCTTTCTTTATTTTTTTCTTTACTTCTCTTCTCTTCTTTCTTTCTCTCCTTTATTTTATTTCATCTCTTTCTTTCTTTCCCGCTTGTTTTTACTCGCAAATAATACTTCTTTTCCTCCATTTTTTCATTCACTTACATGTATCTTTTTTGTTTAATTTTTACATTATTTTATGCATTTTTTTAAAGTTTTTTCGAACTTAACTTACTTTGTTTATCTTTTAGATTTATTCTCCTTCTCTATTAATTTTGTTTTATTTCCTACCTCTCCTTCTTTTTCACACCTCTCTTTCTTCCCTTCTTCACACCTCTCCTTCCGTTGCCTAGCCCTCCTTCTTCCTTGTTTCCTACCTCTCTTTCTTACCTTTTCTTTTACTTCTCCTTATTTTTCCTACTCCTCTTTTTCCCTTTTTTCATACCACTCTCTTTTCCCTTTTTACGTCTCTCCATCTCTTCTCTTTCGTCGAACTTCTCTTTCTTTCATCTTACTTAAACTCAAACTTTCCTTCATTTCTGTTTTTGTTTGGTTAATTTCCCAATCTTGTAAACTTTGTTCTTTTTTTTTTAATTTACGCCATTTGTAAAATGAAGTGAATTATTTTGTTTATACTTCTTTGTCCATTTTTCCAATTTCTTTCTTTCTTTCTTTCTTTCTTTCTTTCTTTACATTTCTTTCTTTCTTTCTTGTCTTTCTTTCTTCGTTCTTTCTTTCTATCTTTCTTTCTTTCTTCACATTTCTTTCTTTTCTTTCTTTCTTCGTTCTTTTTTCTTTCTGTCTTTCTTTTTCTTTCTTCTTTCTTTCTTTCTTTCTTTTCTTTCTTTCTTTCTTTTTTCTTTCTTCACATTTCTTTTCTTTCTTTCTTTCTTTCTTTCTTCACATTTTTTTTTTCTTTCTTTGTATGGGTTTTCCTGTAATATTATTACTTGCTTTATCTGTCTTTCTTTGTTTGTTCGTTTTGTTTGTTTGTTTGTTTTCTTTCTTTCTTTGTATCATCCGTTGTATGAGTTATTCTTTCTTTCTTTCTTTCTTTCTTTTTTCTATCTTTCTTTCTTTCTTTCTTTCTTTCTTTCTTCGTTCTTTCTTTCTTTCTTTCTTTCTTTACATTTCTTTCTTTCTTTCTTTCTTCGTTCTTTCTTTCTATCTTTCTTTCTTTCTTCACATTTCTTTCTTTCTTTCTTTCTTCGTTCTTTCTTTCTTTCTGTCTTTCTTTCTTCGTTCTTTCTTTCTATCTTTCTTTCTTTCTTTCTTTCTTTCTTCACATTTCTTTCTTTCTTTCTTTCTTTCTTTCTTTCTTTCTTTCTTTCTTTCTTCACATTTCTTTTTTCTTTCTTTGTATGGGTTTTCCTGTAATATTATTACTTGCTTTATCTGTCTTTCTTTGTTTGTTCGTTTGTTTGTTTGTTTGTTTCTTTCTTTCTTTGTATCATCCGTTGTATGAGTTATTCTTTCTTTCTTTCTTTCTTTCTTTCTTTCTATCTTTCTTTCTTTCTTTCTTTCTTTCTTCGTTCTTTTTTCTTTCTTTCTTTCTTTCTTTCTTTCTTTCTTTACATTTCTTTCTTTCTTTCTTTCTTCGTTCTTTCTTTCTATCTTTCTTCGTTCTTTCTTTCTATCTTTCTTTCTTTCTTTCTTCACATTTCTTTCTTTCTTTCTTTCTTTCTTTCTTCACATTTCTTTTTTCTTTCTTTGTATGGGTTTTCCTGTAATATTATTACTTGCTTTATCTGTCTTTCTTTGTTTGTTCGTTTGTTTGTTTGTTTGTTTCTTTCTTTCTTTGTATCATCCGTTGTATGAGTTATTCTTTCTTTCTTTCTTTCTTTCTTTCTTTCTATCTTTCTTTCTTTCTTTCTTTCTTTCTTTCTTCGTTCTTTCTTTCTTTCTTTCTTTCTTTACATTTCTTTCTTTCTTTCTTTCTTCGTTCTTTCTTTCTATCTTTCTTTCTTTCTTCACATTTCTTTCTTTCTTTCTTTCTTCGTTCTTTCTTTCTTTCTGTCTTTCTTTCTTCGTTCTTTCTTTCTATCTTTCTTTCTTTCTTTCTTTCTTTCTTCACATTTCTTTCTTTCTTTCTGTCTTTCTTTCTTTCTTTCTTCACATTTCTTTTTTCTTTCTTTGTATGGGTTTTCCTGTAATATTATTACTTGCTTTATCTGTCTTTCTTTGTTTGTTCGTTTGTTTGTTTGTTTCTTTCTTTCTTTCTTTGTATCATCCGTTGTATGAGTTATTCTTTCTTTCTTTCTTTCTTTCTTTCTTTCTTCACATTTCTTTCTTTCTTTCTTTCTTTCTTTCTTTCTTCACATTTCTTTTTTCTTTCTTTGTATGGGTTTTCCTGTAATATTATTACTTGCTTTATCTGTCTTTCTTTGTTTGTTCGTTTGTTTGTTTGTTTCTTTCTTTCTTTCTTTATTTGTATCATCCGTTGTATGAGTTATTCTTGTAATATTATTACTTACCTTTCCTTCTTTCTTTCGTTCTCTCTTACCCTGATTTCTCTCTTTCTTTTCTTTCTTTCTTTCTTTCTTTCTTTCTTTCTTTCTTTCTTTCCTTTTTGATCTCTCCTCATTCATAAAATTCAATGAATTCTTATCTATCTATTTAATTAATTTATGTGTTTTTTCTTTTACTTTTTCCTATTTCTTCGCAAAGTCTGCTTCGGCAGCCTTCCAACAATACTTCCTTATCCTTTTGTCTTTTACATTCTATTTATCACTGTTCTTTCTTTTTTTCTTTCTCTATTCTTTCGCACTTTTTATAGTTGGTTCTTACTTACCATTATATGTTCAGACTTTCTTCTTTACCTCCTAACCATTCCAGTTTATTTTTGTCTATCATTTTTTTCAATCGTTATGTTTTCTTTTTCTGGCATTCTCTTTCGCCTTTTATTTAAACTTTACGCTTTTTCCGCTTGTTTTCCTTTCCCCGTTATTCTGTTTTTACAATTTAATTGGAATCTAAAAAAGAACTTAACCCGAGTCCCAATACAACATTAAATTTATCTTTTTTTTTTATATTTACAACCAAATCATCGTCATCTTTTCCAATGTTTTCTATTCCCCTTTTTGGAAACTCTTAATGTCCCACATATTCCCAAAGAAGGATTCCTGTTATTTTCAACCAAAACCTT